GATTCATTGTTTTGAAATGAAATGAAATGAGGTTTAATTTCCTACTGTTCCACTCCGACTAGGCGGATGAAGAAGGGCATACGCCATATAGTGTGCTACGGCCGACAATTATATCGAATACAAACTGCCAAAGGATCTTTCACGTGCATGCCATTGTGTACACAGGACATCGATTTGTCGTCCCACCCGAACGACTATAAGTTTTCCCCTGCCGGAACTATGCCAGAAAAGCCTGATTAACCTACTGGTAATACTCACTTGCATATAGCCACAAACTAGGTCATTTCGGCATTGACGTGTACAATTTCTATTTGAATAATTCGCTTGCTTGTAGGGTGTTTAACAGTGGGATGACACCCGTGAAACGGGCGATCCTACTCCTTATCACGTCACGTGTTAAGCCTAGCTCACAACCAGCGGTACGTGTTTTGAGACGCACGGGTCGTAGGGTTTGGTAGCTTGCAAACCAGTCGCAAGAAGCCGCGTGGATATTTTGTACAGGACCAAAAGTCACTACGGCCAGTCTGCGATCATCTACGGTGACGAATACAAGCAAGTGGCGCGTAAGTCCCACGCACATGTGTCCCCCGCAGACTGCCTGTGGTAGCAGGTACGGCAGGTTGTGGGTTAGACTTTAGATTAAAACCATGCGACCCAACTGAATGACAGATCTAGCTCAACTCCACCCATCTCAAAAGCCGTGCGACCAAACTCAATCACAGACCTAACTCAACTCCACCCATCTCCAAAAGATGAATTCAGTGCAATTGGTTGTAGTAAGACCAATATGCCCACCTCCATCGTCTTAAAACCAATGAAATTCTTTTTGTTTAACTGGACAAACTTGATTGGTATTAACATGTCACATTTATTTTGATAGTTAGTAGTGGTGATATATAATGGAGATTGGGTGGCCTAGTGGTCTAAAGTCTCGCGCTTCGACCTCTAGCTGGCCAGTCATCTCTGGCTTGCGGTTGTGGTTGTTGTTCCGATACATGGTGTGAGCGTATGTGGCTTTAAGATAGGGACGCCTTCTCAACCTCGTGGCTTTACTCCAGGTACTCCGGTTCCCTCCCACAGGAAAGACCCCTGCGCGTGCGCTAAGATAATAAGAGAGAGAGAGAGAGAGAGAGAGAGAGAGATGGGGTTTAACGTTCACTCGACACAAACTAGGTCATTTCGGTTCAATTTTATTTCAACCCTGGTTAAGAGGGGACTAATTTCAAACAAAGGGCAGATAACTTATTTTGCACTAAAATGCCAGGATGTAATGGCGTTCTCTTGTAACCCTTTTCAGTCTTTTATTTTATTGTTGTTATATGGTGGGTTATTACTTGTTAAATACAACACGACTGTTTATTTAGGGATTATAAATGTGAAGTGGTAAGTTAAGACTTGTTATATATATATATACTTATTGTGGTATAATTGTCGAAATATTAATATATTTATTTATGGTGGGGAACCGTATCTATAGGAATGAGAATATCAGAGTATATATATATTTATAATCAAACGCAGTATGACCCATTGAACTCAACATAATATAAAGGTTATACACGTATAGGCCATTACACTAACTCCCTCTATAACTAAGGTCATTCACATTCCTTTCTCAGCTGTATTTATTGTGATTCAGTGATCTACATCAACTATTACTGATGAATTGATATGCTCTAGTAATACTAGAGTACAATGTATAGGAGCTTTTACGGGTTTCCCTTTTGACGTGATGGAATATGAATAACAGAAAGAATAAAACGATCATCAAGTTGAATCTGTAAATATTTTTTAAAACTATTTTGTTTATGTTAATTGTAACCACATAAATCGTCTTGGCACAGCTTTTTTCACTCAGCGAAATTTTAATCCAATCAGTTTATCCCCACTGTCGTAACCAAGAATGACGAAGAATAAATTTGTGTCGATTTTATCATTTTCTAATTGAGTATTTGGTTCAGAGAACAACTGTTGAATGAAAATGTATAACTGGACTCTTTGTTTTAAATACAGAATTATTTTTTACATCGTGATTATTATTTATTTTGTTCTCCTATGTTAGATTTGCCACGGTCGTGCTTCAATTTTAATATCGTCTTGATTTGAATAATTCTTTCGTGGAACCGTAGGTCACCACTCTAACCCATTCTATTATTTACTCTTATGCTCTATTTCGTGGCATTTTACAACCAAACAGATGTTATCTATTAATTGTTTGCAGTAAAATTAACACACAACATATAAATCCGCTACATACAGCAATGCATCTTTGTTTATGCTTTTGTGTACAGCGGTCAACTGGAACGTGTGCGAGCTTGGTATATATCGTCTGCTACGAAGCACTATATCGTCAATTAAACGAAAAAAAATAAAAAATAATAATAATTTAGACATGATTTAAAATTGGTAATTTATTGCCAATGCTACATGCATCTTACAACAAGAGTGGCATTCAAGAATACGTTTTCTATTAAAAGAAAAGGACTTACAATGTTGAGATACGTGAAGAAAAAAGGTCAAGCTAAAAATAGACACATGAAATACGTTACGCGTTAAAGCTCCTATAGGTATGTGGGTTGGTATGATACATGTGTTTACCTGGTGTACGTGGAGGTATTCAGGAGAGATTCCTGTTTCCTTTCATATTAAATTCTATAATTTACATTTCATCGGGCCAACAAAAATATATGCACAAATGCACAAACAAAAATATATGACTAAGAAAGAAACTAATTTTAAGCGTTGATAAAACGTTGCAATTATCATGTCCAAGAACGTTTTTAAGACGTTTATTTTATGTTTTGTCAAATGGTTTCTACAACGTTGTTTTAATGTTTCTATTACGTTAGAAAAAAACATTTAGCCAAAACGTTTTAGAAACGTTAAAACGAGTCCACAATTTGAGGTTTTTTAAACGTTGAAAATAAACGTTTTGAAAACCTAAGTGAGGCGTTTCTAATACGTTTAAAAGATGTTTAATTGTTTGCTAAGTGTCCTTGCAGCGAAATGCCCAAGGTAAATCTCATCGAAAGGAGAAAGTCCGGGAAAGCCCACAATGTTCGAATGCAAATAATAAATACGTGATAATGGCGTCAGGTTTTACTACAGGTTACTGCATATTAAACTGAAACTCAAAATTATGACTACATCCACCAGATGAATGTTTAACGTAATTCCGTATTATTTAACTATCGACTTTCGTCTGGTAATGATCCATGAAGATTGCAATATTATTATCAAACACATCTAAGAACGTTTAACGTTGACTCGACACAAACTAGGTCATTTAGGAACTAGCAAATGGTTCATTTTTAATTCAATAATTCGCTTGCACGTAGGGGCCAGGGTCATTGTTGAATATATATGTCAATTATATGTTATATATATTGAGTATACTTTCAGAATATGTTATAAACTTTATAGTTCTATTTATAAATTTTATTTATTTTATATTAGTTACCAGATACATACCTAAATCTTTCGAGTTCAGGATCGGATTTAGAAAATGTTATTAAAGGTAAGGGGTTTCTTGGTCATTTCTAAATTTCATTCTTAAGCTTTGGTCTGGGATCGACAATTACACAAATTCTGTTACATTATTAACTATTACGTCGATCATAACTGATTTGAAATTAAAGTAAAAACGGAAACGATTGAATGTAAATCAGTATAAATATTCATATTACATTATTATGTGCGCTGCGACCCATTTGTGTCCATTTCTAGGTATCAAATATTAGAGATTTAGCTCCTTTAAACTGAATTTGTAAGTTCTTGGTCACGATATCACTCATTCTGTCAATTTCTTTAGGATCTTAACGTATTTCAGATGATGTCCGACAAGAAGTTCTTCCCATATTAATTTACTTGCTGGATTGAAAGACCAATCTTAAACTATCTTTGTTTAAGTCTGACGGATCACATGGGGAACAGTCCCGGGGATAAAAAGGACTGAAGCTAAACATATGGATAAAGACGCTACAATAGAGAATGATGCCATGTTGGGATCACCCGTTTGTGTTGATAAAGATGCAACACAAGGTGAAACTAAAAGAAAGTCTTTCCTACAGAGCATGAGACACGCGGCATACCGATCCAAATTTATTCAGAGTATCTCCGTTACTTTTGCCTTCTGGTGTTTAGTAAGTTATATTAATGTTTGTTTAATATCAATACAATATCGATTCTGATGCACACCCAGCAGATGAGGGGTTGTCGTAACTCTCAAAATTATTTTGATATAGCTCTTTACAAAACTCTTTTGGTGGCAATTTTACTCCACTCGGACAAGTTTTAAACTGTCAGACACTGGTTACTCCATCGACTCTGGTAGGTTTTAAACTGATAACTTGTATCTACTCTGGTAGGTTTTAAACTGTTAGCTGCCAGACACTTGTTACTCCATCTACTCTGGTAGGTTTTAAACTGATAACTATTAGACACTGGTTACTCCATCTACTCTGGTAGGTTTTAAACTGATAGCTACCAGACACTTGTTACTCCATCTACTCTGGTAGGTTTTAAACTGATAACTATTAGATACTTGTTACTCCATCTACTCTGGTAGGTTTTAAACTGATAACTTTTAGACACTGGTTACTCCATCTACTCTGGTAGGTTTTAAGCTGCTAGCTACCAGACACTTGATAATGGCACATAGTCGTCTGTAGGTTACAAATTTAAATTCATTTTGACGTTTGCATTTTTAACTTATGGGAATATAGGTGTCCTTAAATGTGCATTTTTCCTGTATCGCGTCCATTATTTAAAGACAACTGATAATATCATCTTAAAGCAATTTCGGTGCCACCAGATTTGATTCGGCTTGGGGCAGACGCTTGGAGAAAGTGTTCTGCTGAAACGTTGTCAGATATCTTCTCTTATAAACTCACCTATGGCGGGAATAACTTCAGGCGTGGCCTGAACTAACTCCTCCATCTCTTCGTGTACCACTACAGACGGAACAGAAAAGTCAGTACTTCATTTTATTTTAGGGTTTTCAAGAAGGTCAGAGGGGTCCATCATTCTTGGATATTCAACTAATCACTAACACCGATGTTGAGAAAGCTTCTACGTTCTTTACTGCTGTTTCTGTAGGCAACCTGTGTGGTGCCTTAATTGGTGGCATCCTGTACGACAGATTTAACAAGACGCTTCTTTTGGGCTTATGTGTAATCCTCATGGCAATCACGGTCGCTGTATTACCCATTTGTTCACCATATGAACTGATGCTGGTGATTTTCTGGGCTAATTCTTGTTTTATGGGCGGATTGAATGCAGGTAGGAAGCAGATAAATTAATCAAAACAATAAATCATATTTAGAATTCGTTAAGTCTGGTTTAATCATCGAGAACGAGAACGACACCGACACTAACGCCCCGCGCTTTTGTTAATATACATGTATTACGCAATGTCTTAAGCTCCAGACCACGACCATTGAAACAACTTAAAAAACAGACACTCGAACGTGCTTACAAAATTACAACTAGTACAAACAATGCCCACTTGGTACATTGGCCGTGCTATTATTTGAAATAATGGTATGGGCAATGTATTTTAAGCGTCTTTAATTGAATACCTGTTGACACTCTACCTGTTAACAATCAACCTGTTATATAATATGTGACAATCTACCTGTTGACAATCTACCTGTTGACAATATACCTAGGGTATAATATGTTTTAATACACAATGTATTAGGGCGGGATTCCTCGTTTGACGTTTGACACTGTATTATGGCCAGACTACAATCAATGTAGGGGATACAATGAAATGATCGAGACTATTTACAGATACACCATGTTGTCCGTGACTACATGTATTTAATATTTTTACAGGTGGTAACGCCCATCTGGTTTCACTATGGGGAGAAGACGAGGGGAGACCATACATGCAGGCCGCTCACTTTACATTCGCATTTGGTGGAGTTATCTCCCCTTTAGTAACATCTCCTTTCCTTGCACCTAACGCTGAAGATGTATCGACCAACTCCTCGTCAAGAAACCTATCTTCTACTGTTGTAGTCAATAATACGCTATTAGAGTATAACATCACCAATGATAACTCAACTCCGGGAAACAATCTCACCACCATTGCTGAACCTGTTGAAACTAAATTAATCTATGCTTATATAATATCTGGTGTTGTCACCTTACTATCCGCCATTCCTTTCATGGTGATATATTGTCGTTACAAGTCACAGAAGATGAAGAGGAATCAACCCAAGAAGGATGAGAACAGACCGATCAGAGATCTTCCTTGGAAATATTATATAATAGCTATTGTTCTTTTAAATCTATTCTATGTTGCCTATTGTGTCGTGGAGAACTCCTTTGCAGCTTACTTAATGACATTTGTGGTAATGGAACTCAAATGGAGCAAGGCGAAAGGTACTCAAATTACTTCCGTATATTGGGCGGCTTTTGCCGTTTCGAGATTTTCAGGAATTATTATCATACGTTGTTTACGACCGGTGGTAATGTTGTTTATATGTCTAACAGGTTTAATTTTAAGCCTCACTGGTTTTTTACTCTGTTCGCATTATAAGATACATACAGGAGTTTGGATTTCCACAATTTTAGTCGGACTTTCAATGTCTGTTGTATTTCCTACTGGTCTTACCTGGGCACAAGAAAATCTCCTCAACATAACTGGCAAGATTACATCTTTAATTTTAGTGGCCGCGTCAGCCGGCACCGTGATCAATCCTGTTATTATTGGATACTTGATGGAAGAGTTAACTCCCATGTGGTACTGTTATTTATTAGTAGGTGAGAGTATATTATGCTTGACGATGTTTCTTGTTTTGCTATTCGTGGCTAAATATGTATCAGGACCCAAACGTATAGTTACAACTATTACAATAGATGTTCCGTCACCACAAGCAGAATGTAATGATAATGACAAACCTTTCATACCAAATAATAAATTACCTGAACTCTGACATTGGGTATTGTTTGGTTATATATGTATCAACAAGAACTATCATATTAAAAGAATGTTCAATATTAAATGTATTTATAATCGTATTGAAATGTTGCCAAAGTCTTTCATGGTCGTCTTGCAATGCTGTTGGCGACACTGACAGTATGTTGCATTGTACTTATAAACCACGTATCCGACATTTACTCCCCCGGGGCTTCTTGAAAAATGGAAAGAGGTTTTACGTCCTACTATTCTGCACCGACTGTGCATATATAGATGGATGACACGATCGGTACAGAACGGTAGGAAGTTAAACCCATTTCATTGCTGCTTAGAAGCTCGTAACGTCGTATGTAATGAGTTGCATCAGCTTACGACCATCGCTGCTTGCGAGATCTAGGTTTAAACTGTCTTTTCATATAATATGGCTACATTTACCATTAATTATTACGAATACCATGTACATAGAGAATGTGAAACGGGGTTTAACGTTCACTCGACACAAATTTCGGGACTAACACATGATTCACTTTAATTTCAATATTTCACATGCACGTAGGGGCATGCACGTGTGGGAGGACCCGGCGAAAGCCCACGAGGTTGGACGGGTACCTACATCATGAAATGTCTCCACCAAAACTGATCAGTGTTTACCGAAATATATGATCCAACAACTGAATATAATAATAATAATAATAACCAGCGGCTGCCAGGTAGGATACGCCCACATTTTGCAAGAGATGGATAGAGAACAAGCTAAAAACAAACGGGATTTTTTTGTACAATCAGGGGCCATAATTCAGCAAGTTACGATTCGATATGCACAAATTCGACAGGAACCAAGGTCTTTGGGTTATAAACTTACGTTTCAAGTATCATCAAAATCAGAAGACAATTGTGACCTCTAGAGAGTCCACAACCTTGATATACCATATTTTTACGCTTACGCTATTTGAGAAAGAGAGGAGGCCATTTTGTCTGTCAACCATCCTAAGGGTATAACGGTGATATATTAAAACGTTTTTTTAAATCGGATAACAATTATGACCTCTATAGGGTCCACAAGCTAAAAACGCGATTTTTCGTTCAATCAGGGGCCATAATTAAGGAAGTTATGGTCCGATGTGTGCGAATATTGAAAAAAACTGGAATCTTTGGGTTATAAACTTACATTTCAAGTTTCAACAAAATCGAATAAAAATTGTGACCTCTTATTGGGTCCACAACCTTGATTTACCATATTTTTACGCGATTTGAGAACGATGGGAGGCCATTTTGTCTGTCAGTTTTGGTCCGATTTTCACGAAATTCGAAGTTAGCCATCCTTAGGGTGTAACGGTGATATACTAAAACGGTTTTTTAAATCGGATAAAAAATTATGACCTCTATAGGGTCCACAAAAAATGATATACTAAAACGGTTTTTTAAATCGGATAAAAATTATGACCTCTATAGGGTCCACAAAAATTGAAAATGTGGGCGTATAAAAACTTTATTTAATGAGGCAATTTATTTAGTTTGCAAAAAAACTAATCTTCCATAAGTCGGGGGTTGCATATGGATGGTCGAATGGTTAGCACGTGCGGGCGCTGTATCACACGTCCTGTCATTGAGTCAACTGGCGGGGTTTCGATTCCCCGGTTGTACGTGACAAGGAGTAGGGTCGCCTGTCCAACCTCGTGGGTTTTCTCCGGGTCCTCCGGTTAACTCCCACTGCTAAAGACCCCTGCGCGGTAGCGAATTATTGAAATAAAAAAAATAAAACTTGTGTTAGTCCCGAAATGACCTAGTTTGTGTCTAGTGGACGTTAAACCCCATTTCTCTCTCTATCCCATAAGTCCCTCCTAAGCTACAAAGACATATATACATGTAATATCAGGATAAATTTAAAATCATTTGAAATGCAATAGTATTTGGAAGTGGGACGTTTGGGAAGTCACTCCTGAACTACAAAAAAAAATACGTTATACAAGTAGAATATAGGGAGAACACTATAATTACACACAAAATAAGAAAGAATGCAGTTGCAAGTTAAATATACATGAAAAATAATAAGTATGTCATCAGTTGAATATTATGGTTTCTTCAGTGCTCAATATAAATGAGTTTTCAGTTTAATCTTAAAATTTTCAACATTTTTACACATCTTTATATCAAAAGGCAGATTGTTCCATAAAAGACATGCAGAATATTTAAACGTTCATGGATTCCGTTTTGCATTTTTGAAGGAAAAGAGATTTACTGGTCTGTGATCGGAGCAAGATATCAGTTTTGGAAACAAAGAGATTTTTCAATAAAATAGGAGTTTAGATAAAGTGGAGTATTAAATGTAATAATTTTGAATGATAAGACAATTTTTTTTTAAAGAATCCTCTGTGTAAGGGTAAGTCAACCGAGTTTAATAAATCAAGAAAATGAAATCAAATGAAATGGAGTTTAACGTCCTACTGTTCTGCTCCTACCGGGCTAATGAAGACGGGCATACGCCATACAGTGTGCAGCGGCGCTACGCCTACTCTTATATCGAATTCCAACTGCCAAGGGATCTTTTACGTGCACGCCAATATGTACACGGGACCTCGGTTTTTTGTCCCATCCGAACGACTAGACAGCTGCCCTTGTCAGGCCCTCCGTCCTGCATCACTGAAACGGGAAACCACCCGACCTCCAGGCTAGCGGGCCAGCGTCTTACCCACTTAGCCACGTGATCCCCAGTAAATCAAATATTGGAAGTATGTAACTATTATAAAACAAAATTCTTGTCTCGTACGGTAAATGATCTTTTATCTTATTTAGGAGAAATACTTTTGATGCAATTTTTTGATTTTAGACATATCTGCTATCTTTGCTTCCCAATTAAGGTCAATTTGAATTCCAAGTAATTTTGCGGTGGTAACCGTCTCAGTTTTCTCACCATGGAGTGTTAAAGTTAGGTTTTTCCGATTTCTTTTGTGTTTTGATGAAATCAGCATTGATTTTGTTTTGGAAGGATTGATTACCATTGTTTTCACACCATTTAGCAACCACATAGAGATCATTTTGGAGATTATTGGCAATGGTTAAAATATCTTTGTGAACACAATACAGGGTACTGTCACCAGCAAACAAATATATCTGACTTGATTCAATATAGAGTGGGAGATCATTTATAAAAATAAGGAATAGGAGAGGACCCAGGATCGAACCTTGTGGAACCCCGCATTTGACTGTAGTAATTGAGGAGGTAATTGATCCTAAACATACTTTTTGCTTCCGTGAGTCAAGATATAATTCAATCAAAATTTGTGAATTTTTATCAAATCGATAAAGATGTAGTTTTTCGATAATAAGCTTGTGATCAATGAGATCAAATGCTTTGCTAAAATCAAGATACACTATGCTACTCATCGCACCATTATCGATAGCATCAAGCCAATTATCCGTCACTCGGATCAGTGCAGTAGCACATGACTGATTTGATCTAAATCCAGATTGGTACGCATAAAGAACATTGGCTATTTCCAAATAATATTGAATTTGAGTGCTTAAGTGTCTTTCGAATATTTTTTAAATTGTGGGGAGAATTGAGATTGGCCTATAATTGTTCGGATCATCTATCTCCCTTCTTATGTATAGGAATAATTTTAGCAAGTTTAAAGGCATTGGGGAACATGTTTTGAGAAATAAAATGATTAATGATATATGCCAATCTGCTACAAATTTTGGGTCCAATACCATCACACCCAATGGCTTTGTTACTATTTAAACTCAAATGTTTTAATACATATGTGGTAGTAATACAATTAATAGAAATGTTGTTATTTGGGGGAATTTTATCATTTACGTAATCTGATATCCTTTATTTGCACTCTTGAGAAAGCGGTGTATAGGGGGCTTAATGTCATCAGTTAAGTTAGTAATGAGATTTTTGGGTTTATTTCTCCATATTCTATAATCGTCACTCCTCATGGAGGCTTTAAAGAAGTCCCTGAAATTTCGGGCTTTATTTATTTCCTCAGTAAACCAATTCGGATGTTAGTATCTTTTCACTCTTTTTCGGAGCATGGTAGTCTATAACACCTATAAAAAGGTTATACCAAGTATCAAGGGCAGCATTTGGGTCATCAATTGACTCGACTAGTTCACATGGAATTTTAGCGAGATCATTAATAAAATTAGAATCATCAAAGTTTTTCTAATTTCGGTATAAAATTTTCAAGTGGTTATGTTTTGTGATTTTTCTCTTGCAGTTTCCAATGTAAAATAATCGGAAAATGGTCACCAATACCATATTGAGGAACTTTAATTTCAACAATATTATCCGGTGTGTTTGTGAATATATGGTCAATGACAGTAGAAGAATTTTAATAAAACAGCGTGTAGGGGTAGTTATTAATTGATGTTATCCCTGCATATTGATTATGTTTCACGTCGTTTTGGAACAGTAGTTGAATAATCTATATTAAAATTTCCTATTACATAAATAGATAGACCAGTATTTATGGAATTTAATTAGTTTCAAAATCTTCAAACTAAACTGCGCACGAAGAAGGTTGTCTATATACAAGACATAATAAAAATGATTTTCCATATTCTGGATGGAGTTCAATCCAAATGGATTCGATATTTTGACGTTCATAATCAAATTTTCTTGAATATTTTAGATCTGAATTTACATATAATATAAGGCCTCCGACACTTTTGCTCAATCGATCTTTTCTGATCAGATCATAACCAAAGATATTAATAAATTTATCGTCAATTTCAGTATGTAAAAATGTTTCAGGGAAGCCCATGACATTAAAATTTTCATTATCATGCAAAATTAAATCCCTTACTTCATCAATTTTACCGAAAAGTCTATTTATATTTAAATGACCTATTTTAAAACCTTTACATTTGGATGGAAATAATGTGGAAACAGATGGGTATCATCGATGGATTGTAATGAATCGGGGGCTACACCAGAGTCAATAAACTGACTGCTGAGGTTGCCTTCATGCATTGTTGGATCATTAATTGTATGATCTTCAAAAATCA